GATGACATACAGTGATCTTCGCGTACAATACAATAATGCGTTCCGGGTATTGATAGGGCTGCCGAGTTTCTGTAGCGTTTCTGCTGTTTGCGGAGGCTCACGTAGATGGTTTCACCGCCATAATGCGTAAACGTTGCGCTTCACACCTTAGGCGCATTCGCGATAGCCCCAACAGTACCTTGTGTGCTTTGGCAGACCGTTGGGACTCTCTCGTCTCTCTATACGAAGTATTGCTAGCAATGGCATTTCGTATGTTATTTATTAAGTAAGGCAAAGAAATGTTTACGTCATCGGTTTTATAAACTGGGCTAAAGTCAATGTTTTGAATTGCTTGTTCAAAGTTTTTCATATTAGTTTTAGTAATAGAGTACTTACAATTAGGTTTCGATATTTTAAGGCTTAAGTTAAGAACGACGGCACTATGATCGGTTACTATAGGACTGGTGACAAGGGTTATAGATGGTAACCTAGTTTTTAGTAGTGTAGTCTAAACAAGAACCACTTAGATGTGTAGGGAGCAAATGTGCTGGAAGCAGGCCCTGGCATGCACATATATTAAGGTAGTAAGTTTAGAAATAGTTAGCGTTTAATTTGCTGATGAGTTCATTAATGACCATATTCCACAGGAGAGATGAAAGAACCCCACCCTGCGGGCATCCTTTCATGATCTGAATTGTCTGAGAATCACCAGCAATCTTTATTGTTCGTGTACTGAGCATGTTTACTATCCAGTCAATCCGTGCCGGTTCAACATTATGTCTACTTAGGGCACCTTTTATGCTGGAGAAATTTGTTCTGTCAAAAGCACCTTCTATGTCTATGAAGGAGCCTAGACATATTGCTTTGTTTTGGATGGCCTCTTCAATCTTTGTTATTACCTGTGAAGTGCCAAATCTGTTGATTTACCTAAGCTATAGGCGTGTTGTTTTTCGTGTAGCGGTAAGTTAATTAGCGCCGACCCTTTTAACTCCCGTTCACACATCCTCTCCATCGTCTTTAGGAGAAAGGATGTGAGGCTAATAGGTCTGTCGGATTTAGGGTCTGTATAGTCGTTCTTACCTGATTTGGTTATGAACGTGACTTTCACTTTACCCCCCCCCCCACTGTAGAAGTGCCGGGAATAAGCCGTCAGGTCCTGCTGCCTTATAGGGTTTAGCTATGAATGGCCCAATGGAATTTGTCTATCGTCACCATTCTTTGTGCTAATTCCCAGTCTTCTTTTGTTGGTGTCAGTGCATCTTCATGCCGGTTCACCCTTTCAACTACACAGCAACCTGGAAAGTGAGTATCAATTAGGATGCGTTGGGTTTCATCCGGCGATGTTGAGTAGCTTCCGTCGGGTTTCTTTAAAGAGATAGATCCCGGCGTGTTCTGTTTAGCTAGGATTTTCCTTATCCGATTTGCTTGTTCACAGGTTTCTATGCTACCACAGAATTTGCGCCACCTTGTTGAGCGTCGATACCTGATACATTTTTTGTATTCAGACTTAGCTTTCTTATATAGAAGCCAGTCTTCATCCTTTGAGGTGTTCATTGCCCTATTTAGGGCTTTTCTTACCTTCTTACGTTTCCTGTCTAGTTCTTTACCCCACCACTGTTGCTTTTGCTCAGCATGTTTTGGTGGAGTGATTACTGGACATGATTCACGGTAGCTATCGATCATGGCTTTAGTGACAGCTGCTACCTGTTCTTCTAGAAGCGATTGATCTGCTATGGTATTAGTTCCCCCAACACCCGCGAGCGAAGACGTCAGCCTATTGAGGTATTTTGTTTTATCCGTCTTGCGGGGATTTCTCCATGGTGGTATAGCGGGGATATCGACCTGTAGTACGCAGCAGATCCATCTGTGGTCTTAGCATGAGGCCTCTTTCGACACATGCCATCCCGTTATTAGCTTAGCTGCTCCTTCTGTTGCAAGTGTGAGGTCGATTATTGTGCGACAGCGTTTATTTATGAAGGTTACACAGCTTAGTAGTTCCGGACTAAAGGTGGAAGAGCCCCATAAAAGAAGACCAAGGATTATAGTCTTAGGAATACCTACCACCCTTAGCGAACGAGAAGACTTTTACTGCATTTTTGAACAAAATTTAGCCGATAAGATCCCTAACTTAACGCGGGAATCTTTTTTGTCCTCTATAAAACTAAGTCATAAATCGGGTAAAAAAACAAACACTTTCATGCAACTTTATTTTAGAAGTGCCAGCTGGCATCAGAAAGGCACTTATCAACCAGGAGCGAGTCTTCATAAATTGGACGTCGTGCCCAGTTCGAGACTTCACACCTGTGACCAGGTGCTTCAAATGCCAACAGTATGGACACGCTGCAAGAACTTGCCGGGAAACAATCGATACGTGTGGACATTGTGGTGAATTAGGACATCAGTCAAATGCTTGCATTAAGAAAACTGATCCAGCAAAGTGTGCAACATGCCTGCGTTTTAAAAACCCGAGCGACCATAAAACAGGTGACCCCGAATGCCCCGCTAGGAAGATGGCTGAAAATAGGTATATTAATTCCATAGATTATAATGAGAGCGCCTAAGAGCGCCACCTTTTACCTTAAATATTTTTGCCCTAATTTATAAGTTACTAATAAGTTTAAGTTTAGTTTATATATATTTTTTAAATATTATTATTTCTGTTGAGTAATATGGATAAGTTAAGTAATGAAATCGATGCTGTCAGTTTATCAGTGGCAAAAACATGTGAAATTGATATGTGCAAAGAATATCTCTTCAAACCTGCGAACTCTCTTACTATTTTAACACAGAACATTCGTAGTATAAATAAAAACATGGATAATTTCCATATCCTCCTATGAAGATTGGACACTGACTGCGACATCATCATACTAACAGAATGTTGGCTATCTAAAAGCCAAAGCAACCTCCCACTACTGCCAGGTTACAATACTTTTAGTAGTAAAAATGTATATAACCAAAATGACGGTGTAGTAGTCTTTGTGAAAAAAAAAATACGAACATATCGGTCGAGGAACCTAATATGCTAGATTGTAGCAGGTTATTGGTGAAAGTTGGTCATGAAACTGCTATCCTTCCTGTTTACAGACCTTGTGGTTTTAAGCAAATAGACAATTTTATCACGTCATTAGACATTATACTTGGGAAACTGTCGTGGTTCAAAAATATAGTGTTAACGGGTGATATGAATATTGATATTAACCCAGAAAGCAGTGAAGGCGGAGCAAAAAACTACCTTAATATATTAATATATGTGCGGTTATGCAGATGATCTGACAATACTGGTCTCTGGTAAGACAGCAAGCATTGTGTGCGACCTGACCCAAGCGGCTCTCCGTATTGTGGAGAGATAGTGCAGGGAATATGACCTAACCGTTAATCCAAATAAAAGGGTTATAGTAATGTTCACACAAAAACGAATGCTGAATAACTATCATCTTCCAAGTCTTTTCAGCACAAAACTCCAACTTTCGTCCGAGGTAAAATACCTAGGTCTTACCTTGGACAGTAAACTTAACTGGACACAAACACATGGAAAACAAAATCAGCAAAGCTAGTTTAACTTTCTGGCAATGCAGAAACATGATTGGCAAACGATGGGGTTTAACGCCAAAAATTATACTGTGGCTGTACAAAACTGTAATTCAGCCCATGATCACATACAGCTCTCTGGTATGTTGAACCAAAACCAATGAAGCCACCACTATACAAAAGCTTCAGCGTTACCAGAAATTAGCTTGTATGGCTGCCACGGGCTGCATGAGGACTACACCAACAGCAGGTTTGGAGGCTATGCTGGAGCTAACACCGCTTCATCTACATCAGAGAAGTTACGGAGCTTCGACTCCGGTTTCGTTAAGTCGGAACTTCCGATTATTATTACACCTTCGGTTCCGACTTCGGCTCCGACACTTTTAAGTCAAAGGTTTTAATCGGAGGTCGAAGCATAACATAGCGGCGGCGGCGGCCTGTGTCTATTGTTATGAACAGGTTCATACATGTCGCGCGGGGAATCCCCCCGACTCCCACTACGTGCACTCTATCGTCAATTATTTTTTCACTTGTTGTTAATTTGTTACGCTCACGACACGTTCATTGGTTATAGATATTTGTTTTGATTTTTGTGGCTTATTATCAATAAAAGTGATCTGTTTTTGTATTGGACAATGAAACCTAAATCAAGTTGTATTTGGAACTACTTCGTTGAAGTTAATTCAGATTCGGCAAAGTGTAAACTGTGTATGAAGACGTATTCAAGAAAGGGAGCTACGACAACGTTGTTAAAAGGCCATTTGAAGTCTGTCCATGCCAGTATGAAGAATTAATAAAGTTAAAAACTGAAAAAAAATACTATACAGCCATCGACTTCGACTTTTTTATTTCAGGATGCTAAAAAACAAATTACTTAAAAGAAACTTTGCTGAAGAATACAAAATGGTGCACTTCTAATGCTAAATCTATGGAAATTGACAAATTGATTTCTGAAATGATTGCTTCGCAAGACCTACCCTTCAATTTTGTGGAAGGTATAGGATTTCGGCGACTTTGCAGTTCACTGTGCCGAAATATCACTTAAGGAGAAGACATTTTTTTTTACTGAAAATATTTGTGGTCATTTATATGAAACATTAGCAAAAAAAATTAAGGATTTTCTCACACAATTTGAAAAGATCTCATTTACAACAGACATTTGGACCGAACCAAGTTCGAATGTGTCTTTATTGGGTCTGACAGCGCATGGCATAAATAGAGATTTTAAAAGGCTAAGTTATTTTAAAATGCCACACATTTGATGGAAGACATACAGGAGACCTAGTTCTAGAAAAAATTAAGAGTATGTTAATGGAATGGGCCATCATAAAAGAGAAAATTCATTGTTTTGTACGCGACTCTGGATCTAATATGAAACGAGCAATGAAACTCGGCGACATACCTGATGTCAATTGCACTGTACATCAGTTGCAACTGTGTGTGCGAACATTATTAGATTCTGATGAAGAAATTAAAGGCTTATTATCGAAATGCATAAAAATTTCGCATTTAATCATTCCCAAATAGCTCAGACTGAACTGCATAAAATACAAAAGGAACAGCTCAACCAAGAATGTTTGAGTGTAATACAGGAGTGTAGTACGCGGTAAGTAGTATTAATTTGTGCATTTATTTTTACCTCGAGATTATTTCATTTCAATCAAAAATCCACGCTAATACAATAAAATTCAATAAATTCAAATAAAACCATTAAATCGATTTTATTAAAACTTGCTGTGGTATATACACTGATTATAATGAGTGTATTATTTAGTTAATTTAAATAATACTTTAAGCTATACTGTAAATTAGTGTAAATTATAAGCGTTAATCAGTTTTATTATTTTGTTACAGGTGGAACAGTACATTTTATATGTTGGAAAGAGTGATTAGAATACAGGATTCTCTATGCCTGTACGCATGTAAACACAACATCTCTCAGTTGTCTCCTGAAGAATGGCTGCAGCTTAAAAAAATAGTGACTATACTTCAACCTTTTGAAGAAGTTACCCGAAATATGGTGACAATAACACCTGTATCTCATCAGTAATACGACTTATACATACACTAAAGTATACATTACACACTGAAGGCAGTAAACAAGACACAAATGAAAAATTTAGAAGTATAATAAAATGTACCGTCGATCAATTAAATTCCGAATTTGGTGACCTCAATCAAACAATTTCTTTGCAATAGCAACATACTAGATCCTCGCTATAAAATAAAATTTTAATGAAGTGGTTAAAGAGAAGATTGAAACAGAAATAATGTCACTATTTGATGCAGATACATCTAAAACGATGCTGATAATATTGCCGGTCCTGTAGAAAATCGGGCAAGAATGGAATTACCAGCAGAAGTTAGCCATAGTAATGTCCAAACAGTTTTGCCGAATATATTGTTAAGTAGTGATGAAGACGATGATACCACATCTGAAAAATGTGCAGTTTTTGACAAATTTGTTGTAATGAAAAGTATACTAAATGAGTTCAATAAAGAAAAACGTATAAGTATTAGTGATGATCCGTTATTATGGTGGAAAGTAAATGGAAATACAAAATTTCAGCCCCTTCAATGAATTGCCCGCCAATATTTGTCGTGTCCACCGGGCTCGGTAGCGAGCGAACAACTTTTTAGAGGGGCTGGCCTAATCTACGACTCGTTAAGAAATAGATTGGACAGAGACAAAGCTTCAAAGCTTTTGTTCGTAAAGTATAATACACTACTTTTGGAGTCAATTCATTTGATTTAATTAGTTTTAAAGCTTTTTTCATTTCATATAATGTAATATGCTCCTTTGGATTTAAATTCTTTTATTTTAACTTTTTGTCTATTTGGAAATATGCCAATTTTTTTTTCATTGTTTGTTTTATTTTATAACTGAAAATTTAAATGAAAAAAATTTTACTAAATAATGTTTTATTTGTCCTTAAATAAAAATTCTCTCTCATGCCACCACTTCTGACCCTGCCTCCGACTCCGATCAAGCAAATTTAAAAACTCCGACTCCGCCTTCGGTTCCGATAAAACCAACCTCCGTTACATCCCTGATCTACATATACAACAAGAAGCAACTTTAGCTGCCATTAGACTCAAGACCCTAAATCTTTTAAGTAAGAGTAAAGTCAGAGATACAGATATAATCGATAGAATTTACTCAAAAATTCCTATCTTACAAGCCAAGTATGATAGGATCCCAAAACAATTTGTATTCGATAAGAAGTACAGGATACAATCGAAGGAAACTGACCATCTGGAAGGATTGGGTCCAAGAGAGCTCAGTTTTCACGGATGGCTCTAAGACAAATGAAGGTGTGGGGTCTGGGGCTTTCTCCGAAGACCTTAATATCCACATATGCACACCGCTGGGTACCCACAACACAGTCTTCCAGGCTGAATGCATAGGTATCATCAAAGCGGCCATAGCAATAGATGCTAGGAAGGTGAAAGACTTCTCCATCAGAATACTGACCGACAGTATGGCGGTACTACAAGCTCTGAGTTGCAATGTGACGAACTCGGGACTGATATACGAGTGCCATCAACGATTGAATGAGGTATGTAAGCACAACAATGTGACCCTGCAATGAATCAAGGGACACAGTGGATCTAGAGGCAACGATGCAGCAGATGAACTGGCCAGAAGGGGATCGGCCCTAGCAACTATAGGGCCGGAACCAATAATACCAATCCCCTTTGGCTACGTTCGTTCACTGGTACGTAGATGTTTCAATAATTTACACGCTCAGCTTTGGAAAAATTTAGTAGACTGTAGACAAGCTAGGGAGCTAAAGCTAAGCTTCTTCGGGGAGATATCATGGCTCGAATAAGCATATTATTCCTGCCCACACGCAAAATATGCGCTTAGACGTGAAGTTGCGGAAAACAGCCCGTCGTTAACTAAACTACTAAGCTGGGTAGATTTTTTTAACTTCTCAATGTCCTTTGAATCAATGTTGATAATAACGCCTCCATTTTTAGTTTTTCGTAGTCCTCTTGTAGTTTCAATTGTTCCGCGTGTAGTTTCAATTGTTCGGGGCATATAATTTTTTGGACAAGAGATTTTGTGTCTTCACTTGTTTTTAATTTATTCTCAGGGTAAATTGCTATGGAACTGAATGTATTGGGGCGCAAGTAATTATTTTTGGTTGTTATAACCATACAGCAAAGGACATTTTTTCTGTAGATGGTTTGGCACAGCTTTCTTGAATCGTTTCCTTAAGTGATTTTCTAAAATCATTTAGGCATTCCATTAGGTCTTGTTTTTCTCTCAGTGCTTCAAGAGAGGTGTACATAAAAATAGCCTTTTGCTTCAAAGATTGGTAGTAAACTGCCATCTGAGAGGCTGCATTACAGACCTTGCGCGATAAGGAATTGATTCTCAGCTTTTGTTCAGAGTTCTGTTTTCCTTCCTGAGCAATATGGCAAACTTCATTTAGACACTGCTTGATTGAGGTCATCCAATTTTTTATTTCACTGGTGGCTAAAAATTCGATGGGGTCTGCAGCACCCTGGTGTGGTGGTTGAGGCGTACTGGGCGGACTCAGAGATGTAATGGTGCTCCGATTGAAAGCACTATTTTCGTATGTATTAGACATGTTTTATATCAAATGTTTTTCATTATAATTTGTTATTCGTGAAATCACAACTCAACAGAAATTGTCCAATGGTTTATCTAGGTCACAGTTTTATTGAAAATATTTAAACACTTCTATTGCTGATAGGCACAACTGCTTGATTCGAGCTCCGTAAGCGTAATGAAATGGTATGGTAATATATAAATGGTTTCATCTATTTCTTAAGACAATAAAACCAAAAACATTATGATAATACCTAAGAATAAATAAACTAATAAGCTTAATATGAATGTGATGCAGTTATGCCCCTTTATAAAATTAAATAAGTTTTCTCCTCGACTTAGTATATATGGCCGCATCTTACCTAACAATTTAAAACTTATGATTAAGAAATCCACAAAAAGAAAACAACGGAAATCTTTATAATATTTTATTACTTATTTTACTTTGCTTTGCTGTTAAGGATGATACCGTCGTATTTCTGCTGGAACCACTTCATGGCATCTTCCTTTGTCAGGCGATGAGGGAACCCAACTTTACCAGTTTTACGTCTTCTATGAGCAACATTGAAACCTGTAAATGAAATAAAAAGTAAAAAAATATCATCTCAAGTAATAGGTTATCATTTTAATAAAGTGAAGTAACCCCCTCCCCCTCCACTAGATAGTGACATGATAAAACACGCAGTTAATCGATGGCTCAGTATCATAGTTTGTGGCAATCTATAGTAGGGGCCTACATTAAGCAGTGCACTTGTGATGAGCTGTTGTTAGTGATAGTGATATATAGAGTAATTACTATTTTAATCGATGGATGCATCTAGCTCAGGACCATAGTTTGTGGCAATTTATAGTAGAGGCCTATGTTAAGCAGTGCACTTGTGATGAGCTGTTGTTAGTGATATATAGAATAAATTACTATGGCCTATTTTCAGGGCTTCTAAATACAATCCAATATTAAATAGGATAATATGATGGACATATTACCTACATATGTACCTTAGCCTCAGTAAGAATAAATAATTCTGTCAAAATTTAGTCTTTTTCTGAGGCAAGTTTGATATTGCACATTCATTACAGAGAGAAATATATTAACATTTCACTCCTGAACAGATGTGCTGACTCTCCTACTTGTATTTCTTTAAACAACATCAAACCTTATTCCTTCCTTTGTATATTCCTTTTAATTTGATTGTAATTTTATACATAATAAAATATATTAAACTAAAAACATTGTCTATATAGCAAACAAAATAGTAAAATTAAAAATTCTTAAACGGAAAATGTGCTTCTTTAAACAGTGATGTCCAGTCAGGGCTCTCGCTAAAAATAAGCAGATTGTTTCTACTTAACCTCTGGGCTTCTGAAATGAATTCATGATTGAGGATTCATGATTCCGGTATGAATTGGCTTAAGCTTGATTTTTTATGGTAGTTTCAAATCATTCGAGCCAAAATTTTAAAGATTCCACTTGGGGTCAAAATTGTGTACTATTTAAGCCCTCCTATATGAGTTTGTTGGTTAGTTCATTGCCAAAAATAACCTCATGACCTGGACCCCATCTCAAGACAACGCTGTTGTAGCTTAAGTCTGCCATTAATTAAAGAAAAAATGGTAGAAAGCATATCACACCATCGTATTCATATAGAAACTTTCGGGATATCTATTTACAAAACTGTTAAAGCACAGTAATTTTAACACAGTTGTGGTGTGAGGAATATGACATATCAGTTTCCAAAAGAATGCAGTGGAGATTTGCAGAAGAAGAGAGAAGGTTTAACAGGTCATCAACCTGTTAATAAACCTTGTTTGAAAGATGCGATGACATAGAAACAACCAGCTTGGATTGCTCTGAAGTGCATAACCAGCAATGGATTAGATTAATATCAGATTTCATTATTATTGCTATTTAATGCCATTTTAAGTAGCAAAAATTTTTTGTAAATTGGTGAGTACTTTTTTATAATTCAGGTGCACAGGACCAATTGCAATTTTAGCTGACAAAAGTAAGTTTGTCAACAACATCAAGAAAAATACTACCAGACTCGATGTTGGAGAAGGTAAAAGGTCTGTCATAAGTGCTATAATAATCTATAGCACTATAGCAACTATGAAACCATATCATGGAAATTCTGATTTATTTATCTGATTAATTATTGAAATTGCCAAAAAAAAAATTATAACCAAAATAAAACTAATAGAAAAGCTGATTAATGTTTAGCATCATAACTTTAAGGAAAGTGCCAAATAGTATACAAAGCATGGGTGAATTGAAAAACTTAATGTGGCAAAAGGAAATGTTATTAAGCACTAGTCAGTACTATATTTCAGTGCACTAACATTTTTCTAAATATGGTATCGATTTTTCTAGATTTTTGGTTTTTAAACTGTTCAATACAAATAAAGCCTTTTTTAAAATCAACACACGAAAGTTTTATTTAATAAATTTCTAATAATTGATTCAATTTGGGAATACATTTTGCATTGAATAATATTTTTTCTATTCTATTTAAATAGACCTGCAATATATTCGGCCATATGCCAAATATCTAATTCTGTGAGCTTCCTTGCCAAATAAGTGAATCTTAAATATTCAAAAGTATTTGTTTACTCTAGTGTCTTTTTTCTACAAGAAGAAAGGGAGTAAACTACTGCTCGAAAATATCTTAAATATCTTAATTTTAATTACGATATTTTATGTGCATAGACATTTATCTGATAGTTTTTTGTTAATTTTTATAATACAGAAATAGATTATGTCATCATCATCATCATCACAGCCCTTCACAAGTCCATTGCTGAACATAGGCCTCCCCCAAGTAATGCCACAAAGCACGGTCCTGAGCCACCTGCAGCCATCGACTTCCTGCACCTCTTAACACTTAGCTTCATACTGGTAGGCGTATTGTTGGGCGACCCCCCCCCCTCCACTAGATGAATAGATGATTATGTACCTATGATTATTTTAATAATTACATGGAAAATGATTATAAAATAAATAAATTACAATTTACCAAAATTAGTAATTTTATCTGACTAGAAGAAAACTTCAAGTCGGATAAAATTACTAATTTTGCGAATGAAGCGGAATAGGCTGCATACCAAAATATTGTCAAGAGCTGTGGTAGCTCAGATGGTTAGCGCTCGCTGTAAATATAACAGAATGCGAGCAACCCGGGTTCCAATCCCACCGGCACCAATGAAATTGTTAATTGTAATTTTAAGTGCTGATATACCACATGCTCGGCAGTGAAGGAAAACATCGTGAGGAAACCTGCATGTCTGAGGAATAAGAAAAAAAATATTTCGAAGACATGTGAAGTTCGCCAACACGCATTGGGGCAGCGCAGCGGACACTTCCTTGTCCTAAAACCCTCTCAGAAATGAGGGGAGGCCTGTGCCCAGCAGTGGGACGTATATAGGCTGTAACTTTACCAAAATATTTGTTGAAAGTCTAATTTATATTGTACAACATCACAACAAGAAATGCAGAGTTTATGATATATATCAGACCTAGTCTACCACTGATAGTTGTCATGACTGACCATTTTTAGAAAATCAATATTGTGAATAAATTTGATATTAAAGTTAGAAACAATCCCAATTATTTTCACTATGTCAGAGAATATTTAATTTATGTCAATCATTTATAAACCAAGAACTGTTAACACAAGCCCTGTTAACAGTTTCATAAACCTTTACTTAACCCATTACTTTGGCGTAAAATATTAATAGGTTTTTATAAATTATAATTATTTCAATATTATAAAAACAAGCTTAATTGTTTAACTTTAATTTACTAATATTATGTATGTATGTAGTGATAAATAAATTCATACCTGGCCTTCCCAGAACAACGTAAAAGTCAAGACCATAGATTCCAATGGAAGGATCGTACTTGATTCCCAAGTCAATATGTTCTTGAATACCAAAACCAAAGTTACCAGTGGCAGAGAAGTTGTCACGTCTTAATTCATATTCCCTTACCTGTAATAATTAAATACAAACATTTCATATAATCCTTTAAGTAATATATGTACTCACTACAACAAAAAAAAGATACAGAACTTAAATCATAAATAATGTAAAATATTCAAGCTGAAAAATATCAATATTCGAACTACAAGGCTTATTACTTCTACAGGAGAAAAAGAAAAGTCACTAGTGTCCATTCAATGCCTTGGTTCATAGAGGAACTCTTTTACCCCTGAAATTTTAGAGGTACTTTGATATGATTTGTACATAGAGATACTAAACCTGGTGAAGTGTGCAAACATAGCATACATCTAAATAAGTTACATCTAGAAATTACTATGCCCAAAGGATGTGTGAAATTTGTAAACTAAATCATGTTATCCTCCAGACGGAATTTCAATCACAACAGCCAGGCTCAACAAAGAGTAACCAACTGCACAGGTCAGGATTACAATGTCTAAGTGTATACACATGCACACTCTTTACTCCCTTAATCTTACTCTCATGTTTTGATGGGACAATAGGACGCATCTGGAGAGAGATCAGGCAAAGGACCAAAGTCTTTAAGTGATTTCTTTTCGGACTTCGAGCTGCTACTGAGCATTTCTTGATAAAAAAAAACCCAATTACTGATTTTTACCTAACCCTGGATTCAAACCTGAAATCTCATGATCAGCAACCATGTTTATGACCACCAGACCAAAGGGGCAGTCCGCATACCACAACCATGTATTGGTGGTGTAAGGATATCCACTACCTCATATTGTCCCATGGGTTAATAAGGTGCGACAGCAATAATACTCAAAATAATAAAAACTGTGGTTGCCAAGCCAAATAGGCTGTAATTTGTTGGATAGAACTTAGTCATAAAACTTGAAAATTAAATTAAAAAGTACTTAGCAATGTAAAAAAATGGAAAGTTAATTGAATCAAATATAATATAAACCAAAATATAATATAATATAAATATAAAGTGCTAAGTTTTAGACAAGATTACTCATCTATAAAAGGTCATGAAGACTACCAAAATATTAATGTTATTTCTTTAAGTATTTTGAGTAGTAATAAATAGTACTCAAAAGTTGCAATCCGAAATATTTCTTTTGCATGTAATTACATAGGAAAACACATTAAAGAGTGATAATCCTTGAACAATTCATGCTAATTAAACCCATAAAATATACATACTTTATGTCATGACGTGCTGTTACACTTAGGGTTAGATCTTAGCGACTGTTTAAACTTAGATGTGTTCAATTTGTAACTAAAACTGAGTTTGGCCAGTAACTTTCTGGTAAAACCAAAGTAAAGTCAAGTAAAGTCCAAATAATTAATTTAAATTACTATGATTTCTATTAACTTTGTCAAATTAGGACCACTCCTCAAGTCAAATGCGAAACCACCTCTTAAGCATCAGTTATAAAACTAATATATAAAACTAAGACTTCTGTTAAGCTAATCAAAATATTAAAGCAAATATTTTTTATGTTATACTTTGTAAAAAAACTTACTTTAAGGCCTCTTTCAAGGATTTCTTCCGCTTTGGCTCCACGAACCGTACAATGTACTGCAATCTTCTCATTACGACGGATACCAAAAGATCTTACAGTATATCTAGCCTTAGAGAACACAGGCTGTTGGCCTGTGAGCTGTTCCAACACCTAAAAGTGCATAGTAATTATAAGTAACATTGTTTTAAAACAATATAACTGTTCATTTAGCTGAGAATGAGTACAAGATTCTCTGAAGTTGTAATTCAAAATTATTAAACTAAAGTCACAGGTTATAAGGGTTCCTTAGCTGAACACGCATGTGTATAATAAATATATTATGTAAAAATATAATAAATGTACCTTTGCAGCACGTGTCAGCCTGTCACCGGATTCTCCTACACAAATGTTCAGACATAATTTTCTGATATGCAGGTTCCGCATAACATTTTTGGAATTGTCTTTAGGAGGCTTCTTATCCTTTTTATTCTTCTTGATAGTGGGCGGTGGTACACGCTGAAAACCATTTTTTAAATTAATGTATAATTTACACTTGAAAACAATGAAATATTTAACACATATAGGTTATTGCAACACAACACCGTCAAATATAAATTAAAACACAAAATATTTCATCGAAAACACATGAGACAAAGTAATTCACATCTAGCGTCACTAATAAAAGACATTTGAATTACAATTATATTGATTCAAAAAGATTTATATTTGCAGTAAAATCAAAACACCTACCGCCATGGTTACAGTTTTTAAAAAAGGATTTATAATCTATGAAAGATATCAAATGAAAGATCAAAAGACAGGGTTGCCATATAAATAATTTTAAAGAGTCCTAAAACTTACAATATTTAAGTTACATAGAAGCTGTAAAATGACATTATTTATTTTTTTACAATTCCTAATTCCTATGTAAGCTGTCTGTGAAAATTATAGTAATTTGGTAGCACAAAATACTTGTTATTAAAAAGTACTACGCAATATTCCATTTTGCATGTGTATTAAATTTTTATACAGTTTTAAATTTTGCAGGTAAGAATGTAATAAATAATAAACTCAAACAGGCGAAATATATGCCAAAAACGCCAAAAAAAAAGAAAAACCCTCTATACCTATAATTTTAATTGATATTTTAGTTCACGCTGTACGGTATATAGGGTATGCTCTGATATGTACTATGACCACAGTAATGAGTGACGTCAATTCAGTATATTACGAAGTCGTTCCTTTATATTTTGCTATATACTATTAAATCAGTATATATACTGATTAAATCAGTATAGCAAATTATAAAGGAACGTAACAGTAATACTGTTTAAAAAGGAACGCAACCCAGTATACAGTGCCATGGTACCAACTTATCCGTTCAGGTCACTGACCTCTACGTATGGACTGGCTATACAATGTGACATAATGAGGCGATTTGCTTTGTGCCATTTTGGCACTGACAGCAGAATTGAACGTCCACGGAACAAATAATAGAGATAAGACAGTGTGACAAAATATATCGATATAAATTCTATACCCTACCAATACTTAAGTAAATAGAATGGACGTTACAAGTAGACCTGTAACGTCCATTCTATTTATGTACCATACTTATATAATGCCCTCATCATTCATCATCATTACCTGGTGATTTTAGAAATATTGTGACGAGTCAGTCAGTCAGTGGTATTCCGCTTATATATACACTATACTATATACACTTCGCCTACCGGTACGAACGAACACAAGAAAGCTTAATCGAATTGGACAAGGCGTTACAAAATAGAAATTTGGTATCCTGGGCATATGTGAAATGAGAAGGTTATATGAGAAAATAACAGAACGAAACTATTACCTACATATTATATAAGAAAACGTGAAACAGCAGGCCAAAAAGGAGTGGGCTTTTAATTAAAGAAGCATTGAAAAACTATGTACAGAACTGACAGGCATTTCGGATAGAATAGCAATACTCAACATTAATATGCCAAGGTATGAAAAACCGTGGACAATTGTACAGGCATACGCACCCACAGAATTAGCACTAGAAAGTGAAAGTGAAGGCTTTTACTGCACTCTGTCTGATATTATAAAAAACAACACAATAACTTCCTCGTAGTCATGGGTAACTTTAATTCACAGGTTGGCTGCAGAGAAATCGACGAAGAATTGATGATAGGCAAACATGGATATGGAAAGAGGAGTGCAAATGGGCATTGACTAATTGAATTTCTACTACAAAATAATTTCACATTACACAATTCAGTCTTCAAAAAAAACCCAAAACAAAGTAGACCTGTACATCACCTGATGGCAAATATAAAAACAAAATCGATTTTATAATAACTAAAGTTGTTTTAACGTTTTACCAAGATACACACATTATTCAAAATTTAAATTTTCATACGAACCACCGCATGATACGCTGCCGTTTAAAAATCATCAAACAGAAAGAGGTAGAAATAAAATTAAAAATAAATTGATATTGGAACAACACTGAAAAAAACTAGACTTTTCGTTCATCAACGCACTGAAATAAGTAGTAAACTCTGACAGGAGTTTCACAAAAAAATACGACTACATGGACAAACTACTGTCAAAATTGAGGAAAGTAAATGTAACTAAAGATGTGAAGTTTGGTGAGAAGTCAATAAAGCTCCTAGAAAAAAGAAAAGCACTAGACAGACAAATCAAAAACTGAAGAAAACCGTTACATAGTATGTAAAATGAGCAAACAAATTCGAGAAAATATAAGAAAGGACAGGAAATTCAGAATAATAAAAAAAACAAGAAGAATAAATCCAAAGAATAGGGGGAACAAGAAAAGCTTTCAAGGAATTAAGAGAATATGGAAAGAACTGGATTCCAAAACCAAAAAGCAACAGATCCAAACAAGTAACAAATCGTAGAAGAATCCAGAGCATTGCCAGAGATTACTATCGAACTATGTACTCGAACAATGACACCGATTGAGAAAAGAATACCAATAATGATCCTAATACCAGTTATAAAGGTCCCATCAAAACTCTTGCAAGAAGTACAGAAAACCTCATGTCACAGAACCTAGAAAAAGCTCCAGGACCTGACAATATAACAAATTATAGGCACCGAAGAAGAAATAAGCCCAATCCTAACTAAGTTATTTAATGATATCATAACAACAGGCATCATCCCGAAACAATGGAATGAATTACATATCATTATACTCCGTAAGAAATGGGATGAGGACGTCATCAGCAACTATAGACCAATTAGCTTAATATCAAATGCGAACAAAGTATCCGCAAAAGTAATTCTAGAAAGAATAATAAGGGTCTTAGAAGAAAACCAACCGATTTAGCAGGCAGGATTTAGAAAGAACTACAGTACTATAGACCACATCCACCCAATCAACAAGTCTTGGAAAAAATACAATGAATACCAGAAGACATTGTATATCTGCTTCATAGACTACTCCAAAGCATTTGACAGTCTGAAATCCTCATGGACACCTTTGGCTGCGGGGGCACCCAAAAGGTTATGCCGGACTCCTACCGGCTAAAACCCCACGGTGGTCTCCATTAGCGTGTAAGAGGGGTCTCCGTTCGGAACGCAACCGGGGCCCCTCTCTCGCTTTGCTTTATTGAAAGCACGTCGCGGGGGCAGTACTTACTACCCCTTGCACCCGCGCAGTGCTATCGCGAGATTTGGGGACCACTTCCGAACCATCGTCATCCTCAGGGGTTACATTTTTAGGTATTCGGGGCCCCCGCCCCAAATGCTTGCAACCCCAGAGGCCCCGTTTCTGGTAGGAGATCAACATCTTCAAGGGGAGGGCCGTGATGAACGCCTTGACGGCGTCGTCTCTGAGCGGGATCTGTCTTCCTCTGATCCCGCTCAGCAGCCTCCTTCTGGACCATTACGGACACACGGAAGATGGCTACGGCCCTCCACGCCGAATCCTCGCTCAGCATCGCCGAGACGACTGCTGTCTGAGAAAGGTTCCGACCGATCCGGCTTGCCAGTATTATCCGCTCCCGTTCCCAAGCTGGGCAAACCGCGAGCGTATGGGACGCGGAATCCTGATCCAGCCCATCATAGTGAAAACAGTTCGCCGTCGCTTCGCATCCGATCTGTGTAAGTCTGTAGGTGAGTCTTCCAACTCGTAGCTGCATCCAGGCTTCGAAAACCGGCAGCATTGCGCCAATGACGCGTTTCCGTGCATAGCGCTCCTCGTAAAGTCGAGTGCGCCATGTGGCCAAAGCTTTCTGTTGCTCCTGCCGTTTTAGAGACTAGAGCGCCTCATCTGGCTCACTGTCACCTCCCTGACGGAGGATGCGGATTCGGTTGTACACCCTCGCATCTATATCCGCCAGTATATCTAGAGGTGGAAAGCGAGCCAGGACTGTTGCCGCCTCAAAGGATATCGTGCGGTATTCTCACACGATCCGTATAGCCATCCTCCGCTGGACACTGTAGATTTTAGTTCTACAGCGTCGGATGGCTAGCCTTTTCGCCCATACAAGCGCCTCATATAAGACTACGGACCGCACTACCCCAGCATAGAGGCGGCGGACTTCCTCCCTCGGTCCCCCTAGATTGGGCAGTAGTCTGTGTATAGCACCCGCCACCCTCTCAATCTTCTCTTAGAAGCCCCAGCGACTGTCCAGGTAGAGCCCTAGGTACTTCATGTACCTCCCCACTCTGATTTCAGACCCACCCACGCGGACACACGAGTCGGGTGGTTCCCTGCTTCGAGGTACTTTGTGAAACCATAAGGCCTCGGTTTTATAAGGCGCTATTTCTAGACCCAACTTGTCAATTTTAGCAACGACGACTTCCGTCCCAAGCTCGGCGAGCTCCTTGGTCCCCTCGAATGTGATCCCGCTGGCGACCACCAGTGTGTCATCGGCATAGCACACGATATTTACGCCAGCAGGAAGGACGACACGCAGAACCGCATCATACGCGAGGTTCCACAATAGCGGACCCAGCACAGAGCCCCCAACCCCACGTTTGATCTCCCTCCGGATCTTCCTACCATCTTGCCCCATATACAGAATGTACCTGTCGCGCAAGTAGTGCCCGATTATTCCTTGCAGGTAGGCAGGCACCTGGTGATGTGCTAGTGCCCGCCTGATTGCATCCCAGGGTAGAGAGTTAGGCGTTGACAATATCGAGACTTATCGCCAACGCCACACTACCCTAGGCTACTCCTTGTTCCGTCAGGGAACGGACGCACATAATGGCATGTACGGTGGAAAGCTCCCGTCGGAATCCAAATTGGCTGTCAGCCAAATCGAGACCGACGCGCGACAGATGTCTGTTGAGCCGAGTGGCAACTATCCTTTCGAAGAATTTGCCAATCTCGTCCAACAGGCATATGGGACGGTACGCAGAGGGAGAATTGGCGGCCCTGTCTTCCTTCTTCAAGAGGACCAACCTTGCCTCTTTCCAAACTGTGGGGAATTTGGCACTCTGCAGGCAGCCGATGAACAGCCTTCTCAGCCTGTCCCCAAAGGCAGCCAGACTCAGCACTAGAGCCTGATCCGGAATTGTATGACCCGGAATGGAATTTGTAATGCCTTTGTAGCCGCTCGGTATGCCCCGTAGAGTCTGGCTATCTTCTCTGGTAGAGCTCGCCTTCTCCTTCGGGCTCTAGCGTACTGGCGTCGACTTCGCAAGCAGATCGCGCGAAGGTTTGCGATTTCGACCGACCACCAGTACACCACCCTGCACTTGTGATGACTGGTTCTGGGCATCGATACGTCGCA